GTGTCTCTTCATCATTGTGTCTTTTCGAACAGGTGCACTATTCTAAAGAGGCTTCTGTCTGAAATGACACTTTTGTGTCCATTCGGGTGACTGAGAACACTCTATAAAAGGAGTGTTGGTCGGTCCAGTCTCACACACCAGAACACATTCGAGGGTCTTCTCTTCTCTATTTTCTTTATCAATCAGATCATTATTCTTTATGATTTGCAAAGGTCTGGTAAGCGAGTACACGCCTACCAGTGGCTTGTGAGCTATTTTATCTTGTTGACCGATTTGCGATCACCCGATTCCACCGTAGGGGGCAAATGCGGTTTTAAGGAGAGTGACCAAGTGGCATGACTCAACCCTCCTCTCTACAAATTCTCGGTTTCACTGTTCTGCAACACTACGCTACTGCAAGTTCCTAGTTTAGAAAGCAATTACTGATAAATACCATTCTGCCTTCTTTATTATTTTCCAACATGATTTACTGAATGCCTTCACAATGTTGTTGGAGGAGAATGGGAAGAAGCCAAGAAGGGGCATTAGGCCATGAAAGGGCCTCAGTTAAATTATATAATACCATTCTAAGTTTTTTGTTCCCCCAAATGTGCTCCTTCAATATAAAATGAAATTAATTAATATTTTAGAAAATGAAACAAAACAAAATGTGATGATCATAATGAGTTTTAGAAGAAATATAAGAAACACTCAAGAGATCATTTCAACACATATTTCCATGCAATATTTACTAAATGTCCCATTGTGGGTCCAACACTACCTTTGAGTCATCTTAATCCTCTAAGATACCACAAATATTGTAAAAGCCTTTATTTTATTCTATGTATGGATAATGACACCCCACCACGTCAGCCATATCGATGACGTGATCCATAACTTATGCAATTGTCTAATATGGGGACACCTTGGCATCCCAACATGCATCTCATCATGTCTTCTCGACCTCCAAACCACTTTCTCATGTAAAAAGGTAGACAAGTAGACACAACCTCGCCAAAAATAATAGAGCACACGCCCCAGGCTTATTGGGTAATCAAGTCTACAATGTATTCAAGCTAGGCTGGGTAGTAGGGGTGGAAACGAATTGATCTTTTCATGAGCTATTCAAGCTTGGCTTGTGAAAAGTTTGATTCAACTCGGTCTAAATTGAGCTTCGAGACAAGCTCGAGCCCAATATATAGGCACGTCTGCTAGTCAAGACAAGCTCAAGCCTAATAAAGCTCGGCTCTTGAGGCTCATGAGCCTAATTGAGATTATACACACATACATACATATTTAAAAAATAATTTTACTATGTATAATAACATTTTTAATTTTTATGTATAATAATAAATATTATATATAATTTTTTTTTTATTTTTTATATATGACAATAAATGATTTTTATAATTCTTAAATATTTATATGTAAAATAAAAAATAACTTTTATATGTATGATTTTTATCTTTTATAGGAAGCTTTGCTCACATTCAAGCTTGAGTTGAGTTGAGCTTGAACATGTGAACTCTTAAGTTGAGTCGAATTCGAGCTCAAATCTCTACCTTGAATTGAGCTCAAGCCTGATGATTTTTTGGCGAGCCATGATTGAATAGCTATATATTTGGCTTAGCTCAACTCAAATCCACCCCTATTGGGTAGCCTTATAATATTAGGTCAATCTAGCCCAAATCAAGTTATGAAACCCTCAACCATAAATCTAATGCAACCTAAAAGCTTGTAGTTGGGGTTGGGTTCAAACTTTTCAACATCTCTCTCTCTCTCTCTCTCTCTCTCTATATATATATATATATATAAGTTTAGAAATAAAGTCCATAATTTTCTATAATTTTGATTATAAAAATAAATTGACATTTTATATTTCTTTTTCATATAGTTTATTACTTAAATGGATAGCCAGTTCAAATGCCAAGCCCAAGACATATTATCAAGCATAATGTATGGGCCAATCAAGCCTTTGCAACATTGAAAGTTATTAATGGTCTATAAAAATTTGACCTAAGAGTATCCTTACGTAGAATGTAAATGAAATTTTACTAATTTTTTTAAATATCTAAATGTTTAACATATTCCCCATTGTTCGGATATATCAATTTCAACAATTCAAATGTCCAAATGCATTATATTAATTTAAACAATGATTATGAGAAAATGTCACTACAAATAATATCCCAAAATGAAGATGTTGTAATTTTAATTTGTAACAAATACCTAGTTACCCATCACTATAAATAAAGATTTTGTGACCGATATTAAATTATTCATCACTATAAATCAACTTTTATAATTTTGTGACAAATAATTTTCTATTTAGTAAACTTTAAATTTTCCACTATAAAGTTGTTTAGGACACCACTATATGTCTATCACTAAAAGCCATTTTTCTTGTAGTGATATGGCATATGGGTCCATGTTGCTCAGGTCTAAGGTATATGAACCCAAGTCAACAGGTTGAATTAAATCCCTAGCCAAGGCTTTAGGGTGAGGTAGGTCTCTAGGTGAAAGATTCTAGGTCGAAGTAGGATTTGACCACAGGGTCTGATTTGACTCCAGGTCGGATTAAACATCTAAGAATGAAGTGCTAGGTCTAGATAAGCATAAATGCCCCAGACTATTGAATTATGAAGGTCTATGTCAATTATTTGTTTTATTGCAATTGTGGCTGGTGTGCTAAAAATATCCCCAACAAGGTTATATTTGGATAATATTCTTTTTTTTTTGTGTGTGTGTGCGTTTTTTCTAGAACCCAATTTCATGAAGCATGTTTCAAGCTTTTAATGTGCAGTTGCAGCTTCATAAATATTGTTTTTCAAAACAAGTTGTTGAGATTAAAACATAAATAGGTGTTTAGTTACATCATATTGCTTTACAATTTGACAAGATGAATTCTGTGTCACTTTGTTATTGTTGAAATATATAATCTTTACATTCTCTTAGTTGTGCCATGCTGTGTGGTACAAAATAATGCCATGTGCTCTATATTTTGACACATTTGTAGACATCAAATCTGGCATATATTTTGCCATGTCTTGTAAATTTGACATATGGCATATATTTTGTCATATTCATAAAGTTATCATGTGGCATATATTATGCCAAGTGTCATATATTTATGGGCATCATGGCATATATATTGTTATATGTTGTAAAGTTTTCACATGGCATATATTTTGCCATATTCATAAATTTGCATCGTGTCACATATTTTTGGTATTATGGTATATATTTTGCCATATTCACAAATTTCCATGTGGCATACAATATCTATGGATATCATGACCCATAGTTGTTCCACATGTGGCATACAAAATTTGTCATGTGATATATATACATTTGCATCTTATGCATTTTAGTAAGAAAATATATTTGGCAGGCCCAAATGTGCTTCTGAAACACAAAGTGAAAAAAAAAAACACTTTATACTTTTCTTTTTTGTTGTACAAGTGTCTCGTTTGTTTTTATTTTAAAAAACACATGTTGTCAAATACTAAAGCATTTATTTATTTTAATATTAAGGTTTATTTTAGAAAGAGTACAAATACAAATAATATGTACAATATAAATATAATACAAATATATACAAAATAATACAAAATTCAAAGTTTTATACTCTACAAATTTGTACAAAAGTATTTCAGAAAAACTTATCCAAATATAACCTTAATTTCCATACAAAATATTCCTTCCAAACTGAGCGATACATGTTCTCGATCATTGCACATTAACGCATATACCTATAAAAAATATAAGATATTAATATTTGAAGCACCCCCCGACTTTTGATATCTTTTCGGATTTCGGTGCAATGAAGGATTGTGAGTTAGAACTAGAGATAGAATATCTGACAACACCTCTACATGGTACAATCTTTCTTCGTTCTAAATTGGTACCAGATGGCTCTAGATTGATTTAAGCCAATGGTTTTTCTCTCGGATTCAATCCAGCGTTTTTAAAATTGGATTAGAAAAATTTTGCTGCAGGTCAGTCATTCAATTTTCCAAGTCAAATGTTGCATAATAAATTATAAATAAAAATTTAAGATCAAAGAAAAATATAAGCAACGTATTAAAGTAGATAAAATGTACCAAAAACGTATAAAAAACGGTAAGCAGCGAAACAGTTGTAATATTTATATATTTATATATTCATTATATCAGATATTAAATAAAAATAAGTATTAAGAAACAAAAATTATTATTATTATTATTATTATTAGATAAAAATATAGAGATGTACAAAATATCAGAAAAAAAATAAAGGATTTAGTCTCTCATTGTTGATATATAATTAATTTAGTTCTTAGCTAAAATATACAGTTTTTATTTTCTGATAATTGCTAAAATAAAATTTAACAAGGAAATAGTGAAACAAGATTGTCACTGTGATATGTGAATCTGCCATTTACAAACTGTTTTCAAGTCTCCACTCACAAAATATTATGGTTGTATATTAAAATATCATTTTCATGAATGACAATGAAAATATTCTCAATAAGCGGCTGTAATGTCTTGTGGATAGGGATGTGGATGTGGGAAGTGGGAACAACTTGTTAGCAGATGCCAGCTTGTACGTAGGGATGATGAAGATGACGAACTGATATAAACATTCTTTACAACAACCAGTTTCTAGTAAATGGACAATCAGATTGAAGATTGAAGGGATGTTTTGTAAGGCAGCTGAAAGGTATAAGATTGTGATATACATTCAAATCGTTCACAAGTTCACGACAGGAGTCCGCGGCGCTACCATTTCACGTGCTTTGATCAAACGCTGCAGGGTGTTATTACATCAATAGTTTTCTTTCTAGCCTAGCTCTTGTTTCATATTGACGTGGACACATGGCACGAGGGGAAAGGACCAGGTTGACCCCAACGTTTTACTTTTTGACATTCTCGCTCCAGGTGTCAGCAGGTTTGGTAAACGTCACGTTCCGGTGTGGCCGGGCCCTCACTCCCGTGTTCCTTGTTTTCTCTCTTTTTTGGCACATAGAAAACTGTCAATCGATCAAGACGAGTTTTATTTGTATTTCATTTATTATATTCAACTTCTCAACAGAAACAGGGCGCCAAATCCACCAAACCCTAACTCTCTTTCTGGTAACCGGAATCTTCCATCAATTCTTCGCTGAAATCCGGATTGGAAAAGAAATCGATAATCCTCAAATGCATTGGAAGAACTTTGTTGCCTCCGACTGGGTAAGAAACAAGTTTTCAGGATTGATCCGACCTATCTTATTTAGTTTTTTTTTTCCCGAATAAATTTCATCCGAATTCGAAGATCTCTCTCTCTCTCTCTCTCTCTCTCTCTCTCTCACTAACACACACACACAATGTTTATCGTACCTCATCTCTGTTTCTCCGGATATTCTAAGAATTATTGATGCATTTGAACTTTTGTAGTCGAATGGATTAGTAGTAATCGTAGGTTCAGAAATTCAAGTTTTTTTTTTTAAGAATTAAAAACGGAAATTTTGCTAATAATAGCGTGGACCGCGCACTTTTGATTGCAGGTGTTTATTTGCTAATATATTGCAGCTAATTTAAATTGTAACTATCTACTATCGAAATGACAAATTGGCTGAATTAATTGTACGGGTAAATACTTTACAGAGTATCTGGTGTTTGTCTAGTTATAAGCACTGCATTTATAATATTTCTGCAATAGCGATAACTGTACATATTTTGGCATAGCCAATATTTTACTTAGTACATGAAATGTTTGATCTCTTGCATATATGATTGGCTTTAATACACAATACGTTGCCGAATCAAATTTATCTGAAGTTTTCTTTCCTTGCGCACAAAGCTTAATAAAAGGCAAATTACTTGTTTCCCACTGATGCTATGCTTAATATATCTTGTATTGTCATCTATAATGAAAATAATGCGAGAGTTGGAAAGAAAACCTCAAAAAATGTATTCAGATATTTATAGAGTTACAGAATCTAGAATCCTCCACTTGTTTAACTGGCTTCCACTTGTCTAACTGACTAACAGCTTGTTCGATCTAGAAGATCTTTGTAACAGATTTACAGCTAACTCGGTTAAGTACAAATGATGTCCAGCTGGCTAGTCTAATACCCCCCTCTCAAATTGGTGCATGAAGAGACATAATGCCTAGCTTGCCCGATAAGAAGGCAAACTGATCAATACCAATAGCTTTTGTGAACAAATCTGCTGACTGGGATTTGCTAGATATGTGAAAGGTCTGGATATCTCCACATTGAATGTGTTCACGAATGAAGTGGCAATCTACGTCGATATGCTCTGTTCGTTCGTGAAATATGGGATTTGCTGCTATATGGAGGGCTGCTTGTCTGTCACGGTGGAGTTGCATTGGTACTGTGAGAGGAATGCCTAGGTCTTGAAAAAAGATATTTCAACTATAATAACTCAGTGGTTGCTACATCCATGGCATGGTATTCGTTCTCAGCCGAGGACCTAGAAATTGTGTGTTGTTTCTTCATCTTCCATGAAATGGGAGAGTTGCCAAGCATGATGATATATCCCGAAGTAGACTGGTGAGTGAATGGACAACTGGCCTAGTCAGAATCACAATAAGCCTTCAATGTGAAGTCGTTATTAGATGGAAGGATAATACCGTGGAGTGGTGAGGACTTGAGGTAACGAAGGATGCACAGAATAGTGTCAAGGTGCTCTTGATGCGGGGCACTTAAAAAACTGAGGTATTGCATGGACAACATAGCTGATCTCTGGGTAAGTAATGGTTAGATAAACCAATCGTCCAACAAGGTGACGGTAAGACGAAGGATCTGTGAGAAGAGGACTAGTATCATCAACAAAACACCACTGCTGTTCCATTGGTGATGAACATGGCTTGCAGTGCAACTATTGGTTTCTTGAAAGATGTCCATCAGTTATTTATGTTGGGAAAGGAAAATACCCTTGGCAGACTGTTGGACTTCAATTCCAAGGAAATAGGTCATAGCACCCAAATCTTTGAGATGAAAGCAATTGTTGAGATATTGTTTGAATGAGGTGATCAACTCAGGAGCATCTCTAGTGAAGATCATCTATGTATACCAGCACAACTAGGTAGTGACCATCATGTCGTAAGAAAAATAACGAGTGGTTGGCAACTGATTGTGTGAAACCATAGTTCCAAACAGAGTGGGTGAATTTCTCACGCCACATATGGGAAGCTTGTTGAAGAATATACAAAGATTTATTAAGTTTACAGACTTGACGATTGCTGGAAGAAGAGAAACCAGGTGGAATCAGCATGTAAACTTCCTCATGAAGATCCCCATGCAAAAATGTGTTATTCACGTCAAGTTGATGGAGTTCCCATCTTTTTATAGCAGAAGTGAGAGTAAAACAATTACAAGTTTGGTGACCGGTGCATAAGTCTCATGAAAATCCAAACCTTCCACTTGTGTATGACCTTTGGCAACTAATCGTGCTTTATAGTGCTTGATAGTTCCATCAGAATGAAACTTTATCTTATAAACCCAACATGCACCAATGGATTGCTTGCTAGGTGGTAGGTCCACCAAAGTCCATGTATTATTTCTCTCCAATGCTGCTATTTCGTCGGCCATAGCATTCTGCCAATTCGGGTCATTGATAGCTTCTAAGAAGGATCGTGGCTCTGTATGAGAAGATACATGGCTGAGGAAGACAACATGAGAAGGGGGAATCTCATCATAGTGTAAAAATCGAGGCTTTGAGAGTTATTTCATATGTAATCATGGAGTCGGATGGGTGGCCTATGAGTGCGTTGGGGTCTGGTAGATGGTTTTGATAGGTGGGGCTCTAGCGAGTGCGTTGGTCCAGTGGGCCCAATAGGCTCAATGGTATGATGGCTGCCAATGTGGCAATGGGCCCAATGGGCTCAATGGTATGATGGCTGTCAATGTGGCATTATGATTCAGTAGGAAGGATGTCATCAATAGGGGGAGGTAAAGGAATTGTAGGAGTGTTAGAAACAATTGGTTGTTGGTTCTCAAAGGGGAATTTTGTCTCATAGAAAACCACATCCTGTGACACAAATATGCGCTTAGAAGAGAGATCATAAAGCTCCCTTCTGATTGAAGGGTGACTTAGAAATATGTATTTAGAGGCACGAGCAGCAAATTTGTCTCGTGGTTTGGAGTAGTCATGGGCATAACAAAGCACCCAAACACCCATAAATGATCATAAGACGACACTTGATCAAAAAGGGCTTCATATGGTGATTTCCCTTGAAGCATTGGTGTGGGAGTGAAATTGGTGAGATACGTTGCTTTCAATACACTTCCCCCAAAGTTGAATAGGAAGAGATTCTTGAAAATGCAAAGCCTGAGCCACTTCCAAGAGATGACGATGCTTGCATTCAACAACACCATTTTATTGTGGCGTGTCAACACAAGAGCGTTGATGCATAATACTATGCATGATCTTGCAGTAGGTCAGACACAAATTCATGCCCATTATCGGAATGGATCACATGAACATAACAATTAAATTGGTTTTTCACCATATTACAAAAATATATGAGAAATGAAATGGAATCAGACTTATATTTGAGAAGGTATAACCAGGTATATCTATTAAAATCATCTACAATGGTAAGGAAAAATTTAGCACCCAACAGCGAAGGAGAGTGATATTGGCCCCAAATGTCTACGTGAATAAGATGAAATGGTGCCGGTGCCATTCTGGAACTAGAAGGAAATAATGCCCTTGTCTGTTTGGAACTATGGCAGACATCACAACAGAAATCTGGAGTAGAAATAGAAGGTAAACCAGGAACCAACGACATTTGGTGTCGAGAGGCATGTCCTAAATGCATATGCCATGTGCTGAAAGAAGCAACACTTATTGCCGAAGAAGAAACACAGTTCAGTGGCTGTAGGGTGTAAATGCCACCATCCATATCAACCTTTCCGATGAATTTCTTCGATACTGAATCCTGAATGAAACAAGATGCGGACAAGAACGGAGTAACACAAGTGTGTTGTTTGGTCAAGTTTACTAACTGACAGTAAATTGCAGTGGAAACCAGGTACAAGTAAGACATCACTAACTATGGAATCATTGAACAACAAAATAGAACCCTGTTGTGTGGCAGATAGAACTGAACCATTCGGTTATTGAGCGGATTTAGGACAAGCTAATTGAATGGACTCAACAAACAGATTTGGATATAAAATCATGTAATTAGAAGCTCCGCTATCTAAAATCCAGGAATGAACTAATGCATTCTTACCAGAAACATCAGCAGTGGATACGACTGGTTTGTCATTTCGTAAAAGATTCTTGAGTTGTATGTATTTGTCCATGGTGAAACCAACTACCAGAGAAGGTTGGGTAGACTGATTTCCTGCACAATTAGCCTGAGCACGATTATCCTTATGGGAAGATTTGTTATGATCCCAGTACGGTGGATAGCCAACTAGTTCGTAACATCTGTCTTTGGTGTGCCCAGTTCTGTTGCAGTGATCACATTGCAGCTTAGACTTGCCGTTAGAGTTTCAGGCATTGGACTTAACATCATTGCATGTAAGGCTGTAAGATCAAGATCTGGATTGCTGCAACTGACTGAAGTGAGAGAGAGATGCTTTTCTTCTTGATTTACCAGTGCATATGCACAGTTAATATTTGGAAGAGGCTCCGTGCTCAGAAATTGATGCAGTTTATCATTCTCTTGATCAGCAAGAATCTCCTTCGTCGCTCCACAAGAACACTCAGGAACAGGATTGAGCACAGTCAGTTGATCCCATAAGGCCTTTAGTTTATCAAAATAGGTTGCAACTGAGAAATTACCTTGTTGAAGGAGTGCCGGGTTGCATTTCAATTGATGAATCCAAAGAGTTGTTTTCTAAGAGTATTGCTCGTCAAGATCTTTCCAGATCTTAGATGCTGTTTCAGTGTAGACAATGCTCTCGTCTAAGTCTCTAGCCAAAGAAAACAACCAGGATATGATCATGGAGTTGCACTTCTCCCTTGCCAACTCCTGTGGTGAACCTCGATTTGGATGAGTAAGTGAACCGTCGACAAAGCTGTACTTGTTCTTGGCACTGAGGCCAATTCTCATTGCTCTCTGCCAAGTCAAGTAGTTTTCACCATTAAAAGGACACAAAACCAGAATCATCCCCGGATTATCTGACTATGGAGAAAATATGGCGAAGTTGGATCTGCTTCAATCGCCATTACTGTAGAATGAGTTGCTGTGGACCGGTTCTGTATAGTTGCGGCGGATTGATTCAGGGAAGACATCAGGCTACTTCACCATAGCTCTGATACCATTAAAATAATGTGAGAGTTACATAGTCTAGAATACTCCACTTGTCTAACTGACTAACAGCTTGTTTGATCTAGAAGATTCTTTGTAACAGATTTACAACTAAGTCGGTTAAGTACAAATGATGTCCAGCTGGCTAATCTAATATATATGGTCCAGATGTTTAGCACAATGGACTATAGTGGGTTTCTCTTTAGAAAGCTTCTGATACATGCACTGAATATGTACACATTTGTTTATTTTTTTCCTGATTGTAACCGATTAGCCTTATTCTAAACTATATTCTATAAGTTCTTTACACTGGAGGGTAATGATGGGGGGGGGGGGGGAGGAAGAGGGAGGGAATTGATTGTTGTACTTGACAAAAAGACAGAGTAGCTCCATATTGTTTGGAGAGACCTTGGTATCGAAGACACTTCACCATGGAGGGCAAACCTTTAACTACTACTACACTGAATATCTCATTCAGGATTGATCAATATATATATCATTCAGGTGGGCCAAGATCAGCAGATTCACCAGTAGTCAGCTTGGCGCATGAATAACTAGGGAAGGTTTCTTCATGGGGCTAGATTTTAAAAGAGATATGCAATAGCCTGTAGTCCCACATTACTGTGAGATTTAAATTTCAAAGAACATTGCTTTATTTGAAATACTCTCTGCTTTCTTTCCAAGCAAACAAAGAATGTATCCCAGAGTACCTCTAAGAGGCATTCCCTAATATTTAGAAGCATGCTCATAAGTTTGTAACGTGGTTTATGGATGAGTCTATGCCTAATCCTATGAGTTAGTTTGAGTTGGAGCATCCCCTTGTGGGCTGATTCTGGCTACTATTGAGCTGATTTTTATCTAGAGGTATGCCAACCAAAGGCCACTAATTGGTCAATGCACTAATTAGCAATTGCACTAGTGTCATGGTGGGTGCTGAGATAACAAGACTCTGACAGTATTTCCCTCCCTCAGCAAGTGCTGACATTTTTAATGTTTCTTGCAGGTTGATATTTGATGCTTATATAGACTTCACTGCTGCCCGTGTTTCAACAGTTATGTAATTCCAATGTCAACAATGTGTTATCTAAATCTTGATATTCAAGGGTTCCATAGTATTGCATAAACAACCTCATAATACGAACAGTTAACAGATACTAGGAAGGTGGTTATGGATTACTTCTAGCTTTTGAAGTTCATTCTGGTATACAAGTTAATTGAGAATGTAAATTTTTGGTTCTTCATGAGTATTTCTCAATGGGAGACCCATCACATGCTTCTCATGCAAGTAAAACCTTGGAAGTGCCAACTGTTGTCATGCATAGAAAGAGACAAGATAGATGTTTAGTTGCTTCTGCTCCTAAGTCTTTCTCACGGAAAGTCTTCAGACATATAACTTCTCTGGACCATGGTAGACTGGGATTTACAGCTGGTCCGGCGGCACTTTTTTTACTGAAAGTTGCAGCCCTGGAGATTGTGCGAAGGGTCTCCAGGGCTAAATGTCCATTTGCTTGGTTCAGTCTTCAGACACTGCAAATTCTTTGCTATCCACCCTTCAAGTGGATTGAGAGATGGCCAGTCTTCAAAGGTTTGGTTAAGGGTATGCAGGTTAGTTCTTCTATATACATGCCCATATTCATTAACTCTGACTCCTATAGCATAATATTTATTTATTCTAATGTGAAACCTAAGTACTCCATAAAACCATGCTGCAGATCTTACAAAGTTATGATAATGTATTCCCACAAGACTGAAGAATGTAAATGTAGTGTAATGAAGGCTAGGTGGTTATAACCAGTCTAGATTACCAGGATTGCTGGGCACATATTGTACATTTGTAAATTCCTTTTCATTAATCTATAAAACTAATGTTGTTTTCAATCAAATAAGTATGATAATGCATTAATGTTCCTTTAGCTCTTCTGGTTTTGTTACACAATTTTCTTGCACATGTTTTTATTTTGATTTTGCATTGGTCAGTTGTCACAATGCAGATTAATAGTCTGGCTAACAAATGCTTGTTAGACTCTGGGTCATCAGTGTGAATCATTTAGATTTATTATTAGGGCTATCAATGAGCTGAGATGGATTGAGCTTTGCCCAAGTCTAGATTCTTGCTACCATTGAGTCGGGGTTTATTCTTAGTTAAATGCAAGAAATTAGGTTTAACCTTATGGGTGTGTTAGGTTGAAGAAAAGGTAGGGAAACCTATACAAACCTTCAAACCAAACACAACCTAAAGGATTTCCCATATTTGGTCCAAGTCTTGAAACAATGCCTACTCTGGCCAGCAGTTCAGTTATGCACAAGACCATAATCCAAGCCTGGGTCTCAAACCAATTGAAAGGGTTAAAAAATAAAAGCAATTTAGATAAATTGTTATACTGAGGTTTATTACATCCGATACCTGGATTTAAACTTAGTATAATAGTGGAATACCTAAACTTGTAGAGGTTAAACTGACATGAGACCATCTAATTTGTGAGGGCTCATTTAGCTAATAAGTTGGGCTGAACTCTTGGTCTCACCTGCAAGCTGATGCTAGTGTAGCTCTTTGATAGCCCTACTGGTTGCAACATTGAGACTGAACCTAATGCTATTTAATGCAATTACCCTATGTAATGCTGTACTTCCAAAATGCTCTTGAAGGTTCTAATAACTGACATTACCGCCATGAGGTGGCATTTTTCTTTCTTCCTAAAGTTAAGCAGTTATGTAGGTCGTGCTTGATCGTTTAGTTATAGTAGATTGCTGAAGTTTCTCAATTCAGATAAATACAAATTCAATGTGTGTTTTGGATTTCATCTTATGCCTTTCTTCTCATTCTTTTGTCTTTTTTGATTCACTTTCTTCCTTTGGATGTAGTGGCTGTTGGGCCCTGTTTCTTGATAGTTTTTGGGTTCAATTTTGCTAGACATTGTCGAGGCCATTATTGTTCCTCTCAATTGCGACGGTTTTTTCTGATCAATCAGAGTGCAGTAAAGAAACCTCAGAGGAGACCACTGGTTCTCAACAATATTTGGAACCACAATCAGAAGAGTCAACTCTTGATACAAGGTATAGTGGATGAGTGAACATTTCAATGCCCAACTTGTTTTAGTTTTGGTTATTCATATTTTTAATATATTGTATTACTGTAAAAGCAAGATGATTACATCAAGCACACATATACACCAAGGCACCTACATTGGAACAAAATGGAGGAAAAAGAAATGGTATCAAACTGATAAAAAAGGTATCAATTATCATGGACCAAACTTATGAGTGATGATAATTTTCTGTGGTGTTCTCAAAGTTACATTTTGGACTTCCCCCCAATCTGAATAATTCTAAACATTCTTAACATCATAACCATATACAAGAAGACTTGGGCCTCATTTTTTTCCCGGGAAGTGGGGGCAAGTAAGTTGGTGGATCCCAAGGAAAAGAAATAAACTCACATTCGTATTTCATTATTAGTGGGTCCTGCGGAAAAGAATGATTTCCGAGCAGCTCATTTATTTGGGCAAGTAATACCCTCTTGAGACTTGGGTAAATCACTTACCCATCTGTGCCAAAAATTGCTAATATGTGATGGGACAATATTGTCCCTTCAATAATGTCAAATTTTTGGATAAAACAACCATTGTACAATTTTACCTGGGGAATAAAAGAAACATTGGTAAGTGTTTCCTAGGAAACACTTGGGTTGAATAAGTGCTTTTCTAGGTAAATGACTTACCTAGACGCAAGTGAGGCCTTAAAAGCACACAAAAATCTAGAGCTTTTAGGTGGGTTGTGCTAGGCACGATCCAGTCACTATAACAATTGGGCCATGCCACGGCCCGACCCATACCCCTAGGCTGTGTTGCGCTTGGGTTTTGCAGCCCATGGACTGGCACAACATGGCATGATAAAGTGGGTTGTGCTGGCATGACCTGCAGCCCAACACGACACGGCCTATATATATATTATGTATATAAATTTTTATTTCCAATTTCATTATACTATTTTATTGTAATTTTTAAAATTTTTGTCTATCTTGTTAATTTATTTTAACCTTTTCATTTTTTTTTTCAATTTTTCTAAAAAAAGTCATGCTACTAGAACTGGCAAAAAGTTGACCCAACCCAAGTCAAAAAAGTAGGGTTAGGGTCTCATATTTAGCTTCCTGAATTCGAGAATGACCCAACCTGGAAAAACCTGGGTTGGGTTGGGTTGGGTCATGGATCAACACACTGACCCGATTGTTAGGTCTAATTGGAACTATTTATGTATTGTTATAAATTTTCACTCTTATCTTTACTATTCAGTCTTTACTCTCTATCTTTTACTCTTTGAACTGATGAATGTTCAAGTTTTTTTATTTTATGTTTGGAATTTTAAGGTTAATTCCTTTAATTTTGGCATTTTAAATGGATTTCCTCTTTATTTTTTAAAATTCATTTTCTTGGTTAATATAATTTAGCTAGTGAACTATGGATGTGAAAAATAGTTGAGTGTTTAAATATGTTTTTGAGTTAAATGGACAAGCATGTTTCTTTGATGGGATTCACCCTTTCCTTTTATTTACACTCTACGGTCACACTTGTGTGTGTCGCTTATTATATTTACTCCAAGACAAGTTGTAGTTGGCTCAGGTTATTTTCTTCATGTGCTTTTCAGGACCAATGATGAAAGTGAAACTCCCCAAAGTATGCCATCTGAAAGTTGGTTGATACAACTTCACAGAGAACTGGAAAAGCAGGGAATTACTTTACCAGAAAGGTGATCAAGTATAATTGCTTTAATATGTAGTTTTGGCTGCTGTTTTATGTATATATTTTTTATTGTCATTTTCTCATGCTTTATCTCCTCTATGCAATCCTTTTCAATGAAATTTGCAGGCCAACAGACATGTAACTATATTCAAAAAGATTTTTTTTTTTGTTTATAATAACACTAATGGAATTTGTTTAATACTAGGATAAATAAGTAGTGAGGAGAAAAAACATGGGACATGTAAAGAATGGTATGGTCCTAAAAATCATAAAACACTGGCCACAGGTACCTCTGTGTGGAGCTCAAGTCCATGAGATTGGTCTTGTTGTACAAGCCCTCCTTTGAAAGCATTCATGCTAATAATCTGCTTCCATGTGATGTTTTGAAGTATTTTTTTTCTCAATTAAATCTTCTAAAGGGTATCTCGTAAATCCTTAAGATTTGCTAGGGTTCTACAAACATGGTTCGTAATTTTGGTATTGATGAACATTTTCCATGTAGAGTTGGAGAAATTTCGGAGATATTTCACTAAGATATTTGGAAAATCTAAAAAATCAGGAAAATTTTCTAGAAACATGGAATTAATTAGTTAACTTTCAAGAGATCATTAGAAGAAATATAATTGCACATTAAGGCTCAAAACCATAGCAAAGAACTACTTAAATCAAATATGAAAAAATTACAAGAGACTGTAATAGTTGTGTTTCTCCTTGTCTCCCTTTTGGTCTTTGCCATCTTCTCTTTTTTTTTTTTATATATATATATATATCAATTATTTGTAATTTTAACTTTTTTCTTTATTGTTTCTATTTGCTTTGATTAGATTGAGAATACTCTTTTATGGTTATATATATATACATATAGATTTTCTTTTTCTTTTGAATTATAGTAGTGACTTAGTAAGTAAATCATATCAAAGTACTAAGCCAATTATCCAATCACCAATTCCCTGTTGGTTCTTTTAGGAAAATATTTGAAAAAAAAATGATGATTTTAATGAAATATTGAAAAGTTTTTAATAATATTTTAAAATTTAAATATATAGCCTATCAATGAAATCTGAAATGTTGTCAGCATATTGAAAAAATATCGTAGATATTTGGGGGGAAAAAAGATTCCCGGAAGTTTTTTGTATCACAACCTAGAAAATGGGGATACTTTGGGGATATATCGCTGAATATCGTTGTTATTGCAGACCATGCTACAAAGTACTAACAGGGTGTTCCAAAGTTGATCTTGCTAGATTTCCAACGTTTCTTTTGATCAGTAATGAAGAATATATTCATTGCAGTAAATAATTCATTTGATAAAGGATTGTAAATATTCATTGCAGTAAATATTCCAACATTTCCAACCTATCAAAAAAAAGATAAAAAATAGATTATACCTTCCAAAGGTACTGAGAAGAACAATTCATTTGATTAATTGTGGGGAAAAACTGAGAAAAGCATATTGGAAACAGCTTCTGATTATCAAGGAGAGGGAAATAAAATTAGTATGGGGGAGATGGAGGAAGACTGTGAAGATGGTGAGAAGGATGATAAAGACAGAAGAGGAAGGGGATCAGGTGGTTGGGATCAAGTAAGAGAGGTAGAGGAGAGTTGATTTAGAAAAACTTGTTGAAACAGAAGTTCAATTAAGCAAAACTTTGGGGATTCTCTTCTTGGGCGGGACCGTGGGAAGTAATTTGAGGGAGACCTATTGTGGGAGGGTGCTGAGTTTTTCCTTTTGATAGAGTGATAGCTTATCACCTTTTCTTGTAATCTTTCTTTTTTTTTTTTTTTTGATCAGCAAAAAGATTTTATTAATAACAGAGAAATATTGAAATACAATAGATATAGGTTGCAGAAAGCATTAACCCAATCTGCAAACACTACAAACCATTTACAGTTCTGCCCAGTACAAGGTAGATCTATTTGTCCCCTGTTTTGCTAGAGTGTCCGCCAACCCATTTGCAGTCCTTTTGATCCAGCCAAACTGAGTGTTGAACTTCCTTGCAATTATGTCAATTTCTCTGTATATAAATTTGAGATTCCAAGGTGCTGATGTAATGTTTTTAGCCCAAGAAATGACTAGCAGTGAGTCTCCTTCTATTTCTAAGTCTGTTGCACCAATCTGCTCAGCCATCTTTAAGCCTTGAAGTAGAGCCAATGATTCAGCCTGTATTGAGTCACCAATAACTATTGGTCCTGAGAAGAGTGCCATAACTTCACCTAGATGATTTCTCCTGCCCTTCCCGGGTTGCCAAAGGAGCTCCCATCAAAGTTTAGTTTTAATTTGTTCAGTGCAGGTGGCTTCCACTCCGCTCTCACAACTTCTTTAGGAACATCTGTTTGTGCTACTTCAGTCCAGCTTCTTAGAATCTCATTCGTGGAGAAGTTTTTGAATAGATCCGTGGTCATCACCCAATGTGCAGTTCTGATTTTTATGGTTTCAATGACTTCCTCTTTTTATTTACTTTTTCCTAAGAAGATTCTTTGGTTTCTTTCCTCCCATATAGTCCAAACCACATATGCTCTTTCTGCCTTCTATAAGCACTTTCCTCTTTTCTTCTGTTGCCTCAGGAAGGAGGGGTTGAATAGACTTACCACATTCTGTGGGGGAGCCCATCTGCATCCAAAGAGAAAACAAACAATTCCCAAATACAAGAAACAAAAGAGCAGGATAAGAGTAAGTGGGGTAGGGTTTCACCACAATCCATACAAAGGACACACACATGAGGAGAGAGGCATTTATTTGGCCTTCTTTTTTGTAGCACATCACAAGTGTTAACCTTCCCTAGGAACACTTCCCAACAGAAGGTTTGCACTTTAGGAGGGATTGGTTTACACCAGATTTCTCTCACTAGAAAGTTCACCCCCAAAGGATTAGAATGAGTGAGCAAACCGAAGAAAGAGGCACAAGAAAATAAACCATCAGGAGTTGGGGACCATAACTCTACTATCAGCTGTAGTTTGGTCTAAATAGAACTTCTCAAGGGTTGAAAGCAAAAGCAATAGGGATTCACATTCATTTTCCCTTAACCCCCTTCTGAAGCCAAAGTCCCAAGAGATACCTAGATCTGAAAATATGCCAACCCTAGCAACAAGTTTGTTTTTAAGGTTTGATAAAGAGTAGAGGTCTGGAAAAATATCCTTAAAAGGCAAATCCCCAACCCAAAGGTCTTCCTAGAATAAAGCTTTATTGTCACACCCAACATTGAAACGAATAAATTGAAGAAAAGTTGGTAGTACCTCAAAAATTGCCTTCTAGGGGGAGTTCAAAGCTGCATTGGAAGCTAATTTTGCATCCCAACCATTTTCAGCTTCACCATGAATGCTCTTAATGACCCTGTGCCACAACCTATCTTCTTCACAAGAGAATCTCCATAGCCATTTCCCTAGAAGGGCCTTGTTTTTCTGTAAGATGTTCCCAATACCTAGGCCACCTTGCTCCTTAGATTTACAGACTTGCTCCCACTTCACTAAATGATCCTTCTTTTCATGACCAGGTTCCCACAAGAAATCCCTCATTATCTTCTCAAACTTCCTTGCTATTTTCATCGGGATCTTAAAGGTGGAGAGGAAATAGGTAGGCAGGTTTGCTAGGGTGGACTTTATCAAGGTGATTCTACCCTCCAAGGAAATGTAATTTCTCTTCCACATTGCCAACTTCTTTGTGAATCTCTCTAAAATTGGCTTCCAAAAGCTTTCAGTTTTCGGGTTTCCCCCCAATGGCATACCTAGGTATTCTAAGGGCCAACTTTTCACTTCACAACCTAGCAAATTTGCCAAGGCTTGGATGTCACCCTCCCCTATGTTTATTCCTGCTACACAACTTTTTTCCCAATTTACTTTTAGTTTGGAGGCCTATTGAAACTTGTCCACCAAAATTTTCAAATTCCTCAAACTGGATTCATCACAACTCTTACAGAAAATGATTGTATCATTTGCAAATTGCAAGTGAGACACCACCACTTCTGAACTACCAATCCTCCAACCTTTAAACTGATTTTCTTGGTTAGCCTTGATGATTTGTCTACTCAGAACCTCAGCCACAAAAGTAAATAAGAATGGGGATAAGGGATCACCCTGTCTCAGTCATCTTTTAGCCGGGAAGAAATTCTTTGCTACCCCATTTAGGAGAATAGAGAAGTGTGCCAAGCTAATACACTCTTTTATCCACATTCTCCATCTTTCACCGAAACCCATCTTTTCCATGAGATTCAACGAGAAGGACCAATCCACCATATCATAAGCTTTTTCTAGATCCAACTTACAAACCAAACCTTTTCCACCTTGTTTTTTCTGAGCTGCCACACATTCATTTGCCACTAAGATTTGATCCACTATTTGTCTCCCTTCTACAAAAGCTCCTTGGTTCTATGAAATAACAAATGGCAAGACTGTTTTCAACCGACTAGCCAGAACTTTAGCAATGATCTTGTACATGCTACCCACAAGACTTATCGGTCTGTAATCCTTGGGGGTTTTGGCCTCTTTCTTTTTTGGCACTAGAGCAATAAATGTTGCATTTGCTCCTAGAGAGAGTTTCCCCTTTTGATAGAACTCACCAAAGACATCCATTAAATCATCCTTCAGGATTTCCCAACAATCTTGATAGAAAGCCATTGAAAAACCATCCGGCCCCGGAGCTTTTGATCTATCCATCAAGAAGATTGCTTCATGGACCTCCTCTACATTGAAGTCTCTTTCTAAGATGGCAGCTTTGGTTTCTGGCACTCTATCCCACTGTAATTCTCCCATATCCAAATTGCTTTCAATAGAGGATCTCAGGATTGACTTAAAATGATCCACAAAGCACCTTTCAATTTCCTCCTTTGAGTTTATTTATCTTCCCTCCACCTCTATACTGGAGATTTGGTTTTTCCTTCTCCCATTTGCTAGGGAGTGGAAAAATCTAGTGTTTCCATCCCCCTTCAGAAGCCATTTGCATCTTGATTTTTGTCTCCAAGAAATTTCTTCTTTCCTTAGGATCTCCTCTAGTTGCACTTTTAAATTCCATCT